AGAGAGAGAGAGAGAGAGGGTGTGTGTGTGTGGCCAGCTCAGCCCACCAGGGGGCGGGGCTGGCTGGCATGTGGTGCTGGGGATCGAACCGCGGTCCCTGATGCTTTGCCAAGCTTGTTCCAAATAGGTGCTTTAGACCACTGAGCCATCTCTCCAGCCCCCATTTCATTTCTGTAGCTTGTACTACAACATGTCTTGTCAGGAATGAATCTTGGCCTAGAAGGACTTCTTTGCTTAGATGTACTCATGCTATGAAGTAGGTTATATAAAGGGAGCAGATAGTTTCTCATTTTGACTTTTAGCCTGTAGTTTAATGACACTGTGGTGAATTAAATATTAAAGATTGCTGTGTAATTTATAACTGGCTATAAGTTATTCTTGTCAATTTTGTTCAGATAGTAGTTCTAAAAGTGCCTTTAGATATAAGTGCCTTTATGTTTCCTTTCTGTTGTATCCTCTAAACTTAAAGTTGTAACCAGTCTAGCTTATTTAGGAGAGATAAATTTGTAATTGAAGTGATAAAAGCATTTATAAAGAGAAAGCCTGTGAACTGGCAAAAAGTGGATAATATTAGAGAGGAGGAGCAGAAAGTCATTTAGATAAGTGTGGTTATCTATAAAAAATGTGAGGTTAAAAAGGAGTAATGGAATCCATCAATTACATCTCTTGATTCTATGTTACACAGGACATGAGTGAAAAAAATAGTATTTATTTGATAAAACGTTGGAGAAATAGTGTGTACCATGTGTGTATCCTTTTCATCTTTATCTAAAGCAAAAGTAGAACTTCAATTTTTATTTTCCTAGAAATTATTTTAGGGGTTTAAAAGCAAATTAGATAGGGCAATAGTTAGAAGGATTGATTGAGTTGGGGGAATAACGAGAGGTATTTGTTTTATGAAGAAATGTTGGAGCTAGCAGTAGTGCAGATTCCTGCAATCCAGGCTGCTCAGCATGTTGAGGCAGGAAGATTGCAGATTCCAATCATTCTGTGTAAAAGAGCAAGATCCTGACTCAAGTACTTTTTTTTTTTTGGTGGAATTGGGGATTGAACTCAGACCCTTGTGCCTGCAAAAAAAGAAAAAAAGCATTTTACAAATACAAAAAGTATTTTACAATTAAAAATGACCCACATGTGTTCTCAAAAGTTGTTATTTATACCTATTTATTCAAGACATATGTCTCAGTATATAAAAAAACAAGATTACAAAATTAGAACTTGGTGAATATGGACTCTAAGAATTTGCTTCTTTTCGGTCGTAGGTTTAGAGTCTTTTTTTTTTTCCCCCCCTGCCTCAGGTTTATTTGTACAAAGAGCACAGTAGGACACCAGCCCTCCACAGATGGCACCCCAGAGGTCATACCAGTCCTTACAGTTTTTACATCAGCAGATAAAAATGGCTTTTATTGTGGAGCCTTAACAGGAGCCTGGTACTTTTGGGGGCCTGGGCACCTTTCGAAGTCTGGGCTGGAGCAGAAGCTGGGGCCTGGGCCTTGGCTGGAGCCTGGGCATTTGGCCGGCAAGGCCTGTGACCCTTGGCAGTGAGGGCACAGATACATTTCCCAAGCTTGGGGTGGGCAATATAAGCAAGTCGAGTGAGCCTGTGGTTTACTCCCTTTGGGATGATCTTGGGCTTGACCTCCTTGGGCTTGACAAGGGTCTTGATAGCCTAGGCGCATGTACTCATGGCCTTGGCACTGTTTGCATGCATCTTCTTGAAACCCTTCTTCTTGTGCTTCTTGGTAAAATGCATGTTCCTAAGTTACTTTGGATCTACCTCTTTCAGAGATTCATATCTTTGTGAGCGAGGTTTCTTGATGCCATTTCTGTGCTATTTTGTGGTTGGTGTGGTTCTTGGACTTGACCATACCTGTACTGTAAACTGCCTGTAAGTTTGTAAGAAATTTTGTAGAAAAAGAATAATTTTTAGAAGAGGGGCTGGGCAGATGGCTCAGCAGAATAAGCACTTGCCAGGCAAGGGCCTGAGTTAAATCACTGTTTCCGGAAAAAAAAAAAAATTAGAATAGAAATTATTTTAGAAATATTTGAAACTGTATCTTGTCCTTTTCTCTGTTATTAACATAGATCCTTCCTCTGTACTAGTATCTAGTAATTATTTCTGAATGAAATTTTGAAGACCTGTAGTGAAAAGCGTTTCTCTGTCACTGTTTTTCATTAGGAAGTCTAATGGATAGCAAATGATTTATTCTTCTAGAATCTCTGTATGCCCACTTGTCCCAAACCTATTATTGTGCATCTCTGCTGTTGAGGCAGTGTGTTGTGTTGCTGAGGACTAGTGGTATTCGTTAAGAAATTAGAATTCCAGAGAATATTAGTATTTATGACACAGGTAGTTACAGAAGAGCGGGTACCAAAGACAGAAGAATTTTAGAAAGGAAAGAAAATAAACTAGAAATGTGGAATATAAGAAAGGAAGCTGTGCAAGCCAAAACAGAAGACAGTTTTAGGAAGAAGTAAGTCACTAGGGTCAGCTGCCACAGATAGGATAAGGTGAAGATGAGAAGTATCTGTTCTTTTGACCTTTAGGAACTGGTAACCTTATTGAGGCATTAAAATGATGTGCACAGAGCATGTGTTTAGAAAACAAGTGAGTAGCTTAAGTGTGGACTCCCAAAAGGTCCTTAATTCTTTTCATAGCATGTTGCATAGTCTCTGACTACTCAGTTTGTAAGTATTTAGAGTTGATGTTAATTATATTAAATACGAATCACTCATAGTATATTGCACACTTGTGAGAATCTTGCCATTTTATATTGTTATTATTTTTATAAAACCAATATTTAAAACTTTGAAGTCTAAAATCAGAGCTAAATGGGAACCTCAAATATAAATGTGGATTTCCTTCCTTGTTCCCTTCCTACTTTTTTCTACATTTGCCATGCATGATGAATACATTCATCTTGGGGATTTAGTATATATGTGTGTATATATAACGTTATAGCATTTAATCATTTATACTTTCCCTTTCTTTCCCCTCTCTATTGCTTACCATTCCTAGATCTCCTTCTCATCTTCGCAAAGTTTGCCTTTTGTTTCCTATCATCTCTGTTGTCTTTTGCTCTTTATTTATGCTTTGCATTTTTTAGTATAAGAGAAACTATATTTAATTTCCTGTATCTGATTTTTTTTTTTTTTCATTTAGCATTGTGGTCTCCAGGTGCATCCATTTTCCTATAAATGACTCAAATTTAACCTTACTTATCCATTCAATTGTTATGCTTTTTTCCCCATGTATTCATTGGCCTTTTATGTTTCTTCTTCTGAGATGTGTCTATTCATTCCAGTTGTTAATTTTTTGGGAGCCTGTAATACAAATGCTAATGTTCTTTTTTTTCTTTTTTTTAAGTCTTGGCTACTTATGATTGAGCAGACTGAACAACTTAGTAGGATAATGAAGACGCATGCAGAGGACCTAAACTCTGGACCATTGCTTAGGCTCACCATGATGATCAAGGACAAGCAGCAGGTGAAGAAGAGTTATATGAGTGTTCACCAGCAGATAGAAGCAGAGATGATCAAGGTTAGTCATTCCATATTGAATTTTGCAATTTGTTTAAGTTCACTGAATGTTTTATGATCTGTGACTTTAAAAACATTTATCATTTCCTCCCATGAAAGAGGTTTGGTGACTGAAACATGGGTGTGTGTGTGTGTGTGTGTGTGTGTGTGTGTGTGTGTATGTCTTTATATGTGTGTGGTGTATTGGGGATTGAATGCAGGGTCTTTGCACTGCTAAAGACCCTGCCCTGTTTTTACTTTTTATATGGAATAGTATATTGCTAAGTTGTCCAGGCTGGGCTAGAACTTGCAGTATTTCTGCCTTGGCCTTCTGCAGTGCTGAGATGACAGCTGTGATACCTTATTATCTTACTCTTTACATATAAATATTACTGGTCATAAAATATATGTACCTTATATGCACCTATGAAAGTGCAAATGTTACCAATTGAACTATAACATAGTTCATTTATTTATTTACTTTTTATGAGTTTAGTACAGGGTCTACAGGGTCTTACTACAAAGATTGGAATCATCGTTATCCTCTTGTTTTCAGCCTCCCAAGCACTGGGATTACAGGTGTGCGCCACCATGCCCAGCCTCTGTTGCTGTCTCAAAACACCTCAGGGGTGGGGCCAGCACTGCAAACCAGAGATCAAACGCCAGTCCCTGTGTTTGCCTAAGCAGATGCTTTAATCTGACCATGTAGCTGGCCCACATAGTATCTGGCTGGCCGAAATAGTACTTTGAAAATTGTATAAAATATTCAGTTTGTTCCCTGAAGTAACTTTTAGCCTTTAAAAAATTAAATATGTAATACTATGTTTATTTTTTATTTTTTCTTTTATTTTTTTTTCCATAATTTTATTGAGAAACAAATTGCAGTGAGACAGTTTCAAACCAAATTGGTAGGACAGTTTCAATAATTAACACGTTGCATACTACATTCTTCCTAGTGGTTAATTGCTGTACAAGATGTGGACATGATATCCTATTTACAAACACTATTAGAACAAATCCCTCTATTCATTAAGAGAAGTAACTATATATCAATCCTAACCATTTTGAATACACAGATACAAAATGGACATTCATCTGTATGCCCTTTTTTTGTTAAGTTCCGTTATTTGAATATTATAGGTGTGTTAACTCAGCAAAATATTCTAAAGGAGTCCAGTAGTTCATAATAGTACTGGGTCTTCTGCTTCACTGGCAATGTCAGAAATTGTTGACCTGAGTCCCTTACAGCTCAACATAACAGCATGACTTTACTTCTTATACTTTGTTTTTATACTTTTCTGCTGGATGGTTAAGACCAAAGTAAAGCAAGACCTATACAACAAGAGTTGTAGTTTTTGGGTCTGATAAGGTCAGTGAAATCCCCTCAGGATTTATCCTGAGATCCTGTACCTCAGATTGTAGATCGTTTGTCAGTGTCAGCCATGTGGATGAGTCACGGCCATTGCTTGGCCAGTGTGCTCTCTGTGAAAGCCTGAGAGAATGCTTTCTCTCCATGTAACTCTCTTTAGGCACACTCTACATCGATCACTTTCCTCTTTGGCCCCGTAATCTTCTTGATCAGAAAATCTGGGACACTACTGAATTACATGACATTACAGTACAAGTTCTCATATGTCCTAAGTCTTAATTGACCACCCCAGAAAGAATGGCTTTCATAAAGAAATCAACCAATACTATGTTTAAATAGCAGAAAATATATGTAAAATAACTTAGTTATGATATTTTAAAATACTTTTACACTTACATCTTATCTCTCCTGATAATTTCTTTTTTTCTTTTTGGTGCTTGGAATTGAATTCAAGACTTTGTGCTTGTTAGGCAGATGCTGTGCCACTAAGCTGTATCCCTAGCTTTTCTGTTAGTTTTAGAATCTTGAGCACTTCCAAATACCCAGCAATTAAAAATTCACTTTATTTTTCCTATTATGTTACTCTCTTTTCTTCTACATTGAATTATTTTAGAGACAATCCCAACTGTCATTTATTTCATGAATACTGTAGTATTACTAAGAACAATTCTTTAAAAAATTACATTATCATTAATGTATCTAAAATGATAATATAATTCAGTAATATGATTAAATATGATTGTCATTTATATGTATTTTACTGTTGCTTTCTTTACTTCAGGGTCCAAATGAAGTTCATATTGCATTTGAATAATTCTCTCTAATACCTAACTAATCTTTAGGTATTATTTCTTGGCCTTTTAAAGAAAATGCTATTTATTTTTTGAAAAAAAAAACCCCGGATAATTTGTTTTATAGCATTGTTTCCTTCATTTTGGTTTTGATGTTAGTGTCTTATGATATGATCTCTCATTTTCCTTCATCTTATAGTTTTCCTATAAAGTGGAAGTTAGATTTGTAGGCTTGAGGAGATTCTACTATTTATTTTGGGCAAGAATACCTCACAGGTGGTGGTGTATACTTGGTGATGTTTATGTTGGAAGTTATATAGTGACCACCGTATTTTTCTGTGACATTAAACTTCACTAATAAGTCCCTGTGTTATTGACTAGATCAGTTTTATTTTTTGATCCTCCCACCCCACAGTCTTGGGGATTAAGCTACATCCCCGATATTGAATCATACTGAGCTACATCTAGAGCTCTTTTTATTTATTCATTTTTTAAAGTTTAGTGACGAGGTTTTTTTTTTTCTTTTTTTATTAATTTTATTGAGAAACAAATAGCAATGAGACAGTTTCAAAACCAATTAATAGGACAGTTTCTTTCTTTTCTTTTCTTTCTTTCTTTTTTTTTTTTTTTCTTCAGAATTGAGGATTGAACTCAGATCCTTGCACTTACCAGGGAAGTGCTTATTTTACTGAACCATCTCTCCAGCCCCAATAGGACAGTTTCAATAATTAATACATTGCATATTTTTGTCTTCTTAGTGGTTATTCATAGTACAAGATGCAGGCATGATATCCTGCCCAAACACTATTAGTACAAATCTTTCTTTTCATTGAGTTAAGAGAAAGCAGCTGTATGTCTATCCTATTTTGTATATACAGATACAAAATGGCCCTTCATTTGTGTCCCCCTTTTATTTTTAGTTTTGTCAGAGACGGGTATTCCATTGTCATTTAAATATTGGAGGTGTGTGAATTCAGCCAAGTAATCCAATTTAGTTCCATAGTCATAATAGTGGGTTATCCGTAGGACTGGCAATGTCAGAAGTTGTTGACTTGAGCCTTTCACAGCTCAGCATGTTAAAATGGCTTTACTTTTTTGAAAACCTTTTCTGAACTTCATTATCTTCAAAAGTATGTAATGTCTATGTTGCATACCTGAATGACATAATTCTCCTTCCTGCTTTCTTCTGCTCCAGTATTTTTCTCTCTTTTTGCTATTACTATTCAAGGTAAAGATAGTTGCTGCTGAAAAAAATAAGTTACTATTTACAACTGATATTTTGGGAATATTTAATAGTTCTTGAAAATTGTATTCCCAGATACAGATTTAAGTTTTTAACATCATCTTTTCATAGCTGCCCCCCAGTATTATGCAGATTAGTGTTCTGACATTTATTTGCTTTTCATCTAACGCCATGATTCATTTTTATCTGATAGCAGCTCCATTTTTGGTAACTAGTTTACCAATCAAATGGTAACTGCAAATTACAATTGCTATGACAAACTGTATATGAAATATGCACGCATAATTTTGATCACGATTATTGCTGTCTGAGTCATGGCCTGCATCATCTTCTGCAATTCGATTTAGGCTTTACAAAATTTTATTTTCACCACATCCTTTTCAGTCCCTATACAAGCATCAATTATAGTAGAAAAATATGTAATGACACTTTGTCTTGGGATAAAAACGTAGTTAGTTTTTTGTGAGATGCTATAACATTTTTCAGAAGATTTTTTCTCTTTAAGCAGAGAATAATTTTTCCACTAAATAATCACTCCCCCATTTCCCAGCTTTATAGTGCGTTTAAAGTCATGCATAGAGGTTATTATACAAATTTATTATTAAGGAAAGATTTTGAAAAAATGGTTTCCCTGACTTTTCTGGAAGCTGAGAAGGGTGTGGCTTGCTATAACATTGAAATGAACACATTCAAAATGAAAATTCTATCCTGAGTACCCATAGATGACTTTAATTAAGAAAGTCCTCAGACTCTGATATAGTAGTTGATTTAAAACATGTGCTTTGGGAGTGGAGATGTAGCTCAGTGGTAGGGTGCTTTCCTAGCATGTATGAGGCTCTGGCTTCAACACCAGCACCATAGAGAAGGATTTTTTTTTGGCTGGCTCAGGCCGCCTTAAGGGTGGGTCTGGTAAGGCAGGTGGAGCTGGGGATTGAACCACGGTATGCTGCGTGTGACTGCATTTGCATGAGCAGGGGCTTAAACAATTGAGCTAACCAGCAGGCCCCCCACCCCAGCACTATAGAACATGTACTTTGTCAGTTTAATTTATTTCTTTCTACTCTTCTCCCTCTCTTTACCCCTTTTCTCTCTTCTGCCCTTCTTTTTTCCCCTCCCCTTCACACAAGGGATTGAATCCAGGCTTTGCACATGCTAGGCAAATGCTCTAGCACAGAGCTAGAGACTCAGCTTTTTTTTTTTTTTTTTCTTTGCTGTGAGATAGACTTGATAAGTTGCCTTAGCTGGCCTGAAACTCAAGAGACTCCTGCCTCAGCCTTCTAAGCAGCTGAGATTACAGGTTTATAACACCATACCTGACTTGTTTTCTTTAACTTTATTTATTTAATTTTTAATTTTTCAACAAATAATACACTGCATATATTCTTCTTAGTGGTTAATTGCTGTACAAGATGCAGACTTGTGATCCTATTTACAAACACCATTAGAACA